ACCAGGCTTCTGCATTAGGAAGGCAGGATAAGAGACTCCCTGGAGTGGCCCAAGGAAGTGCCTTTCAACCAGAGGTACAAGTATCCCTGTGGTTACTTGAGAGAAGTCTGGGGTATACATCAACACTACTGAAATTTGGAGAAATTTCAGCTGGTCATCTGAAGAAGTGGGGTTTTGCCCATGAAAGCTCATGATACCATCTACATGTTTTGTTAGTCTTGAAGGTTCTACTAGACTATTCGTTGTTTTTTAAGTTTTTTCTGTTACCAACTAACTCGGCTACCCCTCTGATGCTTTCTGATTGTGAGTTGACATGGATTACAACCTCAACTTGGCCAAATCACTACAGCACTCTGACTAGTGGTGAAAGTGTAACTGGGAGAAGTAACAATAATAAATTAATTTCATCTTTATCTTGGAAAATCAGTGTTTGTGCTGCAACTGTTGTCAATATTAATAATTAATTAAAGAACACACTTTCCTCAAGTTATCATTTTTTTAAGGAGAAAAGAGAGAGCGAGGAATCATGCATATCTCTTAAATGCACAGCCTGTTTTCTAGCCAGATGGAGCAGAAATAGCTACACAACTTGAAATGTTCAGTAAAAGAGGAAATGAGCATATTTGTACTTCTCTTCCTCTCCATCAGAAACACTATTTAAATTACTTCTAAAATTCAGATCCATGGAAGATGGGGGAGTTGCTAAGCAGAGATTTTAGTGCAAGAAGAATCTCAAGATTTTCTTTTTCCAGTGGAGGCAGCAATCATTACTTTCCAACTTCCCCATCCCACCCTTGAGGTTCTGAGGTCAGGGCTGACATCCTTTCAGCTAAAGGGAACTGAAGGCAAATCTTGTCAGAGCCTATGAGCCCTACTCCTTAATTGGCCATTCAGGATGTTTTCTAGTTTTTTAATTTTTTTTTTTTTTTTTTTGGTTTTGTAAAACATTCATTCTATGCAAAGATGACAGAGCTATCTCATAGTATTCCCTGCCCCATAGCATTTTGCACATTAAAGTCATTTTTGGTTTGGGAATCACATAGCATTTGCATGAAACATTGCTGCATTTCAAAATAAAATCAGTTTGCCATGCAAAATGTAATTTGTTTTTAAAAATCCCTATTAGCTGAAGTAAGAGCTCAATCCTACTGCCACTGAAGCTGATGGAAGTTAAAGAAGTGGCCAAAAATAAGTGAGGGTATGTCTACACTACCCCGCTAGTTCGAACTAGCGGGGTAATGTAGGCATACCGCACTTGCAAATGAAGCCCGGGATTTGAATTTCCCAGGCTTCATTTGCATAAGCGGGGAGCC